CATAGGGCACTGCACACCAGAACAACTAGACACAAGGACAGTTTTTTCACTCTACTCAACACTGTCCAACTATTTACAAAATCTGCACTACTATCACTATTAATCTTCTCATCACTCCTTATCACCCATCCTCTCCCACTTGTGATTGTAGGACTGTAACTTTGTCGCTTGTATCCTTATGATTTATATTGACCGTTTCCTGGTATGATTTGATTGCTTCTTGATTCTTGACGAATGTATCTTTTCTTTTATGTACACTGAGAGTATTTGCACCAAGACAAATTCCTTGTGTGTCCAGTCACAGTTGGCCAATAAAGTATTCTACATTCTACATCTCTGTGTCAGCCACGATATACAGGTGGTCTCTGCCCATGACTTTTTCCTAAGATTTCTTCTTCTTCTTCTTCTTTTCTTAACTTCCCCATCTAGCTGACAGCCGTAGGATATCCTGATGGCATCTTGGCGGCCTTTTGGCAGGAGAGCGGGATTAACAAAGGACATCGAGTTGTTGTGACTGGGATGCGGAGACTCACAAGCACCCTGGCCTTTCTAATAAACAGGCTCCCACCTTGGACCAGGAACGTCACAAAAGCTTCAACAGAGCTGCCTGTGGAGACAGCAACCACAACAGTTGCTAAAAAAAAGGGGGGTCAGGGGGAGGCAGATAACAACCTGCAAATCCGCATTGTTGGAAGAGATGGAAGGAGGGGGGGGTTGTGGAGGAAGAGCAGAAAGAGAGTTAAGCGTGCAAGACATGTGCCCTTTCCGTGCTCTTGGCCAGCATCCCCGGGAGAATTGGACCTGTCAGGACAAAGCTATTCCAGGCCCATAAAAGGCCACGACCCCTCACCAGGGTCTCTGCAACTGCGTTTCCAGACTTGTGTCGAAAATCCCTTTTGTGTGTGCAGTGCTATTGATGATCGGGCAGCGGCTGTGTGCCAGCTCCCCCTGCAGGGCACAAGTGGCCTTGCAGCCATACAAATCTTTCAACCATCCCTTTGTCTCCGCTCCCTGCCATCAGTCCATCTTGATGCTGACACCACCAGGGTAATTTATTTCTTTTTTAAAAAAAATTACTACTGGATGTTGGCACAACTTTGCACAGCTTCCAAGGGAAAAAAAAAAAGGCAAATGGTTTCCTTATCATATTAATGACTTCCCAACCGGAAAACAAACAGTGTTAAAGGATGTAAAAAAAAAAAAAAACTTTGTTAGGAGATCAATCAGAATAGAGCTGGAAGGGACCCTGGAGGTCTTCTAACCCAAGCAGGAGATCCTATACAATTTTGGACAAGTGGCTGTCCTATCTCTTCTTAAAAACCTCCAGTGACGGAGCCCCCACAACTTCTGAAGGCAACTTCTGTTCCACTGGTTAGCTGTCCTCACTGTTATGAAGTTTCTCCTTAATTCCTGGTTGCTTCTCTACTTGATTAGTTTCCATTCCTTGTTTCTTGTCCTGTCCTCTGGTGCTTTGCAAAATAAGTTGATCCCTTCTTCTTTGTAGTAGCCCTTCAAATACTGAAACACTGCTATCATGTCACCCCTAGACCTTCTTTTTTCCAGACTAGCTATACCCAGTTCCTGCAACCATACATTCATACATTTTAGTCTCCAGGCCCTTAATCATCTTAGTTGCTCTTCTCTGCACTTTTTCCAGTCTCAACATCTTTTCTGTAATGTGGTAACCAAAACTGCATGCAATATTCCAGGAAGACAAGAAACGTTAAAAGTCAAGGCAGAAAACAGTGTCCAGTACGTTGGGCATCGCTAACTATGCAGCCTAATAACATAAATGCACATGTGCCGCATTCAAAGAAGCTTTAAAAGGAATTATTGTGGAAGCTAACATTAAGCCAGCCAACTTGCACAAAGCCTGGGGTCTTCAACAGCGAATCAAGAGAAATTTCTGTAGATGAATTATTGCCAGCAAGTAGCAGGGACAGACTTAAAGCAGGCAGCTATTCAAATTAAGTGGGTTAATCCTACACCAAGCAAATTGCAGCTTGTTTTCTGTTTGCAAATATTAATATAATGCCTTTATGTGCTGCTATGTTTTGTAAGTCTGTGTGTTATGGCAGAGTTAAAAGTCATCTTTTTAACATTAAACTGGAGCTCAGGTATTATATTAAGGGGGGGGGAGCTTAGCTGCATTCATACAACCTAGTTATTCAGCTTATTAAATTAGCCTGTTTTCTGATTTGCAAAATACAAACCATGTTGAGCTGGATGTCCTTACCACCCTAAATCAGAAAAGGCCTAACCCTGTTAACTCTCAAAATAGCTTACTGTGCCATGACATTATGTCTGCTTGGCCTTTTCTTGTCCTTGAATTATGTGGTGTGAACCAAATCAATGCTTTTCTATCAAAAGATTTGCATCAAACCCTACGGTCTGAATATATCAAGAACCCGAGGAGAAAATATCTTTCTTTTTTTCTCCCCTTCTTTTAATTTAGTAGCCAGTATAGTATATCGGTTCAGATGCAGGACCAGAAACTGGGAGAGTGTGAGTTCTTCTAAGATATATATCTAATTAATACATAATTTTCTTCCATGCTGGCTTAGAATCCTAGAACCGATTACCCAATAGACCTGGAATGCACTCAGCCAGGAAGGCTGTGTTTTATAACATGATATAATCACAATATAGGCAATCCACATTGTCTGCAGGGGAATATTGAAACATCTGCCACACCGCTGCAATGCAAACCCTGGCCCCTAAGTGCTTACATGTGGCGTTGCAACAGAGGTATGAAAAGGTGGAGCTTGGCGGCATGATGTCATCACACATTTTATCATCCTGCCATCATACGATCTTCTATTGTCTACAATGCTTTTTTTTTTTTATGATGGTGGTGCCTTCAAGTCAGTGTTGACTCCCAAAGACTCTGGTGTAACGCAATTTTCTTGGCAACATTTCTGAACGGGGTTTGCCCTTGTCTTCTTCTTCTTCCGAGGGCTGAGAATGCTTTGGCCAAACTCATCCCGCTGGTTTCATGCCTACAACAGGACTAGAATTCATGGTTGCCTGGTTTCCAGCCAGGCACCTTCAACGAGGAGACCAAACTGGCTTTCCATAACGTAACTAGGAGCTGGATAGTATCCTTTGGCCACAAAGGGATTCATAGCAACTTCCTCCAGAGGTACCACGTTCTGATATTTTAAGCATTGACTTCTGACCATATTTACTTCTTCAGCTTCAATCACAATAATACACGGGCAACCAACCAGTGGTGGGATTCAATTTTTTTTTTTTTACTACTGGTTCTGTGGGCGTGGCTTGGTGGGTGTGGCAGGGGAAAGTTACTGCAAAATCCCCATTCCTTCCCCACCCCACTAACCTGCTTTCCAGCTCCGTTCTCCTGTGCAGGGCAACAAAAGAAGATCCAGCCAATCAGCTGAGACTCGGGAGGCAGAGAAGAGATGGGGGCGGGGCCAGTCAGAGGTGGCATTTGCCAGTTCTCTGAACTACTCAAAATTTCCACTATTGGTTCTCCAGAACTGGTCAGAACCTGCTGAAGACCACCTCTGCAAACAACCGATACAAACTCAAGGTAAACCACTCCAAACTCGATTGCAGAAAATACAACTTCAGCGACAGAGTGGTCAACGCCTGGAACGCCCTACTCAACTCCGTCGTTACAGCCTTAACCGCTCACAGCTTCAACCTCAAACTGTCTACCATGGGCCTCACCCCATTCCTAAGAGGTCCTTAAAGCGGGCGTGCATAAGCGCACCAGCGTGCCTACCGTCCCTGCCTTACTGTCCCCATTTGTCTGTATTTACTCCCTTTGTTCTTGTTTATGTTCATACTTATTCTTGCTATCTTGTACATGTTTGACAAACAAAAAGATAAAATAAAATAAATAATAGAAATATTTTTCTCCATTCCCATTTAGAAAAGGGTTTGGGGCCAAGCATTGAAGTGACCAACTTGTGCCATTCCCATTGCAGGTGGGACGTTTGGCCAACATCGTTGTAGTGTTTTTTTTTTTGACTGTTCTACAGAGACTATGATCCAGAGACGGATGGTCAGAAGGCAGCTAGGCCAGAGTGAAAGACCATGAGAGAATTATCCAGCAATTATCGAGACTCATTATACACCGTGTGATTCCCTCCTCACTTACTACCTGCAGAAAAGCATACTCCATGAACTATATCCTATATATACGTAGTTACAAACTATAGCTTATACTACAGCCACTGGAACGCTCCTCAAGTTTTCAAGAGCTGCTATTCCAGGTAGAGTAACTTGGGTGGTCTTCAGCCCCTCAGATATCCCAGGCAATAAGAAGATGTAACGCCCAACTCTTGAAAGAGAACAGACTAGAGAAAGCTAACGTAAGAGGGATGGCCTCTTTGTCACTTCACACTTTACAGCTCTGAGTTAGCTGGACTTTGTAATTTACTCCTGCCTTAAGAAAATGAAGATTTAAGCTGCCGCCTTCTATCTAGTTAGAAACAGTCCTAAATTCCATAGGCTTATCGTGAATAACCTTGCATCGGATTGCACTGTTATGCTTGACTGGTGAAAAGGCCAAGAAATGTTATTTTCACTTCTTAAAAACAAATAGCTATCTGGCAACTTCAGACGCTGCCTTCTTCCCACAGAATTTACCGTGGAGAATCCAAAAATTGCTTACACAATGTTTTCAATGCCATTGTAACTTTGAACTCATTGTTTAAGTGGGGTCTTGTCTCTACCCCTCAGTGTAAATGTGGTGAACTCAATGAGTTCGAAGCAGAGGTGGTATTCAGCAGGTTCTGAACAATTCTGGAGAACCGGTAGTGGAAATTTTGAGTAGTTCGGAGAACCGGCAAATACCACCTCTGGTTAGCTCCGCCCCCATCTATTTTCCACCTCCCGAGTCCCAGCTGATCGGTTGGGTCTTCTTTGGTTGCCCTGCACAGGAGAATGGAGCTGGAAAGCAGGTTAGTGGGGTAGGGAGGGAATGGGGATTTTATAGTATCCTTCCCCTGCCACGCCCACCAAGCCACACCCACAGAACCGGTAGTAAAAAAAAAATTGAATCCCACCACTGGTTCGAAGTTACAAAGGCATTGAAAAAAGTGTCTTATGACTATGGTTTCACAGTTACGACCTTTTCAGTGTTCCCATAATCACGTGATCCAAATTCAGGTGCTTGATAACTGACTCATCTTTATGACGGTTGCAGTGTCCCAAGGTCATGTAATCCCCTTTTGTGACCTTCTGACAAGCAAAATCAATGGGGAAGCCAGATTCATTTAACAACCGGGTTACTAACTAATCAACTGGTGTGATTCACTTAACAACTATGGGTGAGAAAAGTCATAAAAACACAGTAAAAACAGGGGCAAGAAAAGTCATAAAAATGGGGCAAAACTCACTTAACAACAGAAATGTTGGGCTCAGTTGTGGCCGCAATTCAAGGACTGCCTGTAGAAGACAAAACTGGATTGCAGAAAGCAAGATTTGAGGGTTACTAAGGAAAAGTCATAATTCTTTGGCGGTGAGGATTATGCTGGGCAGGCACCAGCGGAGAAATGGCCAAAACTCCGCCAAAAAGGGAAGGAGAATAAAAAGAAAGGAACGCGATGCAAAACTTGATTTGATTAATAAAAAACAGAATGTGCTGTTTCGCATTCGCAGTTAACAGCTTAATATGTAGCTTAAAACATATAATTAGCACTTATCCAATAAACAAGGCATGGGCTGTGCTGTGTGTAGCATTTTCTAAATTAGCGTATTATACACAGAGATTTTAGGCAGAGGATTCCACAAAGAAAACACTTCCAGGGAGTGTAAGTGGTCTACTGAGTTTTAACAATATGTTTTCATAGCTAGATAAATCAATTAAGTCTGTATTACAGTTTAGGAAATACACACAACCTCTGCTGATTTAAAATCAGCTTTTTGTGTGTTTGTGTGTGCACTTAATCTGTCCATATTCAACTCATCTCCACAGGCTTTTCCAATTTAGCATTCCCCAAATATAACAGAATTGCAACACTCCAAATTTCCCAATAATTATCTGCTCTGGGGATAGCATTCTATTCTGGAATTGAAGTCCCTGCAAAATTAGGATGGACCCAAATTTGGGGGGGGGGGGGGGGGGGAGAAAGGCCCCATTGCTTTTAATCTCTCTACAGTGCACTGACCTATAAGAACCTGGTTATGGCCCAGCTTCTGAACAAAAGACAAAACAGGGGTCACAAAAGAGATTAAGAGAAAAAAGAAGAAGGAATATTCAACATCCCCCCACCCCCGAATCCAAATATTTTAAAAACAGGCTTGTATGGATGGATGGCCATCAACAATAGCAAGGAATTCAAGTTCAAGCAAGCAATAATCCACCTGTCTGATGGATCACGGGTAGTCCTCAACTTACAACCGTTCATTCAGTGACCTGTTCAACGATACAACGGCACTGGAACAAAGAGACTTATGACCGTTATGCCTGCGGTCACCTGAATTTGGGGCTCCGCTGAGGTCGTAAGTCAAGCACTACCTGAATTTTCCTGCTGTTGGCCAAAAATTCTTCACCAATGTGGAGGTCCGAGAATCAGGACAGGCGATAGCTCTGGATGATGATGATGATGATGATGATGATGATGATGATGATGATTATTATTATTATTATTATTATTGTTGTTGTTGGATAAAATAAATTCTGGAATCATTTCTCAAGGTGGTGATACTCTCCTGCTTCCCCTCCCAAAACCCCCAGGAGAGGTTTCTTTCTAATTATCTTCCCTTGAGAGATAATTGAAACCTGAGAAGATTGTGGACTTCTTCTCTAAAGACCATTGTGCAACGAAAAGACAGGACACACACACACACAGAGACACACACACAGTGTGTATGTGTGCCATAAAGAAGCATAACAACATCCCAGACCACCCAAGAGAGACTAACTGGCATTCTTTTCCTCCTCTGAAATTATTTCTAAAAGGAATTGTCTTTCATTACGTTACGGAAGAAGTGGAAAAATTAAAAACAAAGTTTTTTAAAAATAATAATAATAAGAAAATAAGAAATTACTGGGGAACTTGCCCAGCCTGGCATTTCATTTCTGCTCAGTTTGGAGGAAAAAAAAAACTGCCCCAGATTTCACACACAAGATGGAAGGACGGATGAGAAGCAGCTACAGAGTAATTTCAGGTCCTCCTTCAATGCATTTAAGTACAAAAACGTTTGTTTTTAACCATCTTCTCGGTAGGCCGATACAGGTAGCCCTGAACTTATAACCATTCGTTTAGTGACTGATCCAAGTTACAACGGCCCTTTAAAAAGGGACATCCAACCGATTTTGACAAGCTTAAGACTATCGCAGCCTTCCCACAGTCACGGGATCAAAATTTTAAAAACATGTTGGACAACCATTTGTCTAAAGTGTTGTACGGTTTCCTCCCTAAGCAGGGGGTTAGACTAGAAGACCTCCAAGGTCCCTTCTATCTCCGTTATTCTATTCTATTCTATTCTATTCTATTCTATTCTATTCTATTCTTTTTGGAATGTAGTTCTCACAAGACGCGCAAACCTTGTGCAATCCTTCATTATTTATTTCTCTTTGTGTTTGGGAATCCTTCTCTGATTAGGGGCTGTTAGTGACACCCCCCCCCCCCTTTATCTACAACAGGTTTCAACCTCAGTGCATCAGCCAATCTTTCCTATTTGCAGCCATGTCTCAAGGGCAGGTGGCGTTTACTCGAGAGGAAGGCGCATCATGGAGAGCACCCAGGGTGTCAACACTTCTCTTCCTAACCCAACACACCGCCAGACCCAAAAACCTGTTATTCCGTGGAGCAACTTGTGCAGAAAAACAGAGATAGACACACAACACGCACCACCACCACCCTTAAGTACGTGAGACCCGAGCCACTCCTTGAAGGAGGAGAGAAGAAGAAGAAGAAGAGTGACATTTTTCTGGTGTGCAACGGGTTGGTTTGTACACCTAAGCAGAAAAAGTGAGCTGGTTAAGAAAAAATAAACAGAGGGAAAGTGGACTTGGGTGTTTTCCTGGGAAGTCTGCTGAGGATGAAATCCCAGTCTGGGAAGTTGTAAGTCAACAGCAAAGTGCGTTTTCTTTTGCAGACAAGGCGTGCTCCGAATCTCAGCCCTTCTGAACGGGGGTTGGACTAGAAAATCTCCAAGGTCCCTTCCAGCTCTATTCTGATTGATGGGCTGGTTGTCTACAGCTAGAAGGGCCACCATATTCCTTGAAGACCATTCAGTTAAGAAAGGCTATCGATCTCCTGGCACATTCTGGCAGAAGTCTCTTCCCTGAATCCTAAAGCTCCTAAAGCCAAATTTCTGGGATTGTCGGTCATGAAATAAATGTTAGGAAAACATAACAGAATAACGGAGTTGGAAGGAACCCTGGAGGTCTTCTAGTCCAACCCCCTGCTCAGGCAGGAGACCCTAAACCATTTCAGAGAAATGGCTGTCCAATCTCTTCTTATAAACTTCCAGTGTTGGAGCACATCCAACTTGAGGCAAGTTGTTCTACTGTTTAACTGTTCTGTCAGGGAAATTTCTCCTTATTTCTAGGTTGGGTCTCTCCTTGGTTAATTTCCACCCATTGCTTCTTTCCTGCCTTCAGGTGATTTGGAGAATAGCTTGACCCTTTCTTCCTCTCTGTGGCAGCCCCTCAAGTATTGGAAGACTGCTATCCTGTCTCCTCTGGTCCTTCTTTTCATTAAACTAGAAGTACCCAATTTCTGAAACTGTTCTTCATGTTTTAGCCTCCAGCCTCCGAATCATCTTTGTTGCTCTTCTCTGCACACTTTCTACAGTCTCAACATCTTTTTTATATCGTGGCGGCCAAAACTGGGTGCAGAATTCCAAGTGTGGTCTACAGGGCTCCCTCAATTAAACAAGCACCCCGTACCCAGGATTTTGCTTTTTAGAGTACTGGAAATCACATTGTGCAGTTGCCATTTGAGGAGGCATTCCCATTCCTTTTAAACTAAACTATATACAAGTAGTACACAACTTTAACTGAGCCTAAAATTACAATCCTAACATATAGTGGTTTTAACTTGAGTTGTCATGTGACTAAACCTAATTTATACGCATTTTTGTGGCGGTCATTAAGGTAAATCTATTTTACTGAATGAGCATGTTAGCAGTAACTGGGGAAAAAAATCCCCTGGAAACCAGCAAAAAACCTTGACAATTACAATCACATGATCGCAGGATATTACAAATAAGATGAGCTGGTTGCCATGCAGTCACCTGACCGCAGTGTGTGTGTGTGTGTGTGTGTGTGTGTGTGTGTGTGTGTACGTGATTGTAGCAACTTTGAAACTGAGTTTTTGTGGGATCCGTTGTAACTTTGAAAAATCACTTTGAATGACCAGTCATAAGTTGAAGACTCTCTGTACCAAAACTGAAGGTTTATTTATCCCAAGGGAAAAGTGTAAGGGACAATTAAGTTTGGCTGGTTAAAAATAGGATGGTGGACCAGTGGTGCGATTCAAAATTGATTACTACTGGTTCTGTGGGCGTGGCTTGTTGGGCGTGGCAGGGGAAGGATACTGAAAAATCCCCATTCCCTCCCACCCCAATAACCTGCTTTCCAGCTCTGTTCTCCTGTGCAGGGCAACCAAAGAAGACCCAGCCAATCAGCTGGGACTTGGGAGGCGGAGAATAGATGGGGGCGGGGCCAGTCAGAGGTGGTCTTTGCCGGTTCTCCGAACTACTCAAAATTTCCGCTACCGGTTCTCCAGAACCGGCTAAAAACCACCTCTGTGGCAGACCCTCAGATGAAGAGAGCACAACTTTGTGAATCACTGTGGGAAATCAGGGTTTGATAACACAGAATCTTTCAACTGGATGGCATCACTAAGCCCTGAATTTAAGAAAAATAATAGTAATAATAAACAAGGCAATCTCTCTCTTGCAGTTTTGAAATATTTCAGGCCCCGACCACACCCAAATCTCAAGCATGAGATCATCGAAAGCAGACACAATTGTGGGTTTTTGTTTTTGTTTTAAAAAGGGGGTGTCATGCACACCTTGGAAAATGGCATGTGGAATCTGATAGACATAAAAATG